CGCAACACTTCTTCAAAATGGGTCTCTGTAGTTGTTACTATGGGTTTATAGTGATCACTTTAGTTTGCCTTTCTGGATTTAGCTTGCTGTAGTGTTCACTATCGAGTCCAAAGTGATCACTTTCATATCAAACTTTCTCAAATGCTGAAAATCCATGGAAAAAGTTTAGAAATTTCTGCACAATTATTCAAATGATCAAAATTGAAAACTATATCTATGTAAATCAATGTAAATTAACCAAAAATTAAGAAACCTATGATATTTGACCAAAATAATGTTTTTATGTTATTTACACTTCCTAAGTTTACTTTTTCTATTAAGAAACATCAAAATGACAAGTAAAAATCAAATAAAATGTGGATTCATAACCTGGCAAGATCAATATCGTTGTCGATGCTCTCTCTTGCTCCATTGATTTTGTTTCTTCATAGTGCCTTGTTCTTTTTGTTCCTCGATTTGTGTTTTTAGATGAGCTACGGTTGGAGTTGCAATCGGGCCCTCAATTTGTTGCACTTCATGACAAGTTTCTTTTGGATCCCTCTTCATTGCAAGACTTCACACTAATGGATGACTTTTTACTCTTTCGACAAGGCATCTGGTTGCCTTCTACTTCACAATTTTGCATCCTTTTAATTGAAGAGTATCATGAGTCCCTCATGGGGGACCATGCGGGTATTACTAAGACATTGAAGTGTGTTTCGAATAATTTTCATTGGGCCACTGCTGTTTAAGATGTTCGTGACTAAGTGCTATGTTTGTCAGCAAACCAAGACCAGCACTAAGCACCCAATGGGTTATTACATCCTTTTCCAGTTCCAACATAGGTATAGGAAGATATTTTTATGTATTTTGTTACCAGTTTACCTTCTTCTCACAGTTACACTATTATTTTGGTGGTTCTTCCTACTTATTTTACAACTTATAAGGTTGCTGAGTTGTTTATTTCCATTGTCTGTAAGCATCATGGTCTTCTAAAGAGCATAGTGTCTGATCGGGATCCTATTTTTGTTAGTCGTTTTTATTCTGAACTTTTGAAATTCAATGGCACGCTACTTTGCATGAGCTCTTCTTACCATACTAAAAGGATAGGCAAATTGAGGTGATGAATAGGATGATTGAATAGTATTTGCGTACTTTTACTCATCATGAGTCATCCTCTAGTTCAGATGTTTACCATGAGCTGAATACCATTATAACACTTCGATTCACTTTGGTTCCGATCTTACTCCATTTCAGATTATTTATGGTCATCTTCCTCATTCCATTCCAAATTATATTGCTAGTTCTTCTATTGAGGCTTGTGACTCTGTTCTTTCTTCTTGAGAGGATATTTTGTCACTGTTGACTCAAAACCTCGCTAAGGCTCAAGCTTGTATGAAGTCTATTGCAAACAAACGGCATAGTGATATTCACTTTGTTGTGGGAGATTGGGTGTACGTCAAGTTATAGCCTTATAGATAAGTCTCCTTTTTCGGCCAGCGCTACCATAAATTGGCTAAGCGTTTCTATGGTCCTTATTGTGTCTTGAAACACATTGGCCCTGTTACTTATAAATTAGAGTTCCCTTCATTCTCCAAAATACATAATGCCTACTCTTTGCTGAAGTTTCACAAGGGACCACATCCAACGTCTTTTGAGAAACTACCACATAATTTCATCGACAATCATCCCCTGGTCACACCTTTTGCCATCATTGCCTTCAAGACTTAAATTCTTGATCAGCTTCCTATTGTGTGTGCCTTGGTTTAGTGGCGCAAACTATCCCTAGATGATACCTCATGGAAACATTGGGATCACCTTCAACAATTATATGACCTTGAGGACAAGGTGTTTGCCATAGGAGGCAGTATTGTTACGAATGAAGCTCAAGAAACATAGGCCCAACAACTTATTGCAGAGAATGAGGACTTGAGAAAGGAGCGGCTCAAATGTGTTATTCGCAGACCTAACCATTGATGAGATTTTATCCATTATTAACTATCATATTCTAAAAGCAGTTTATTACGAGAGTTTGTTATTTTCCTTTCGCCATATTGTTATAAATGATTATGATGTATTATTATGCGGGATGAAGAATATTCAGCTTCCCTCTTCTACAATTTCTAAGGAGGTTGTTCTACCTCAAATCAAAGCAGCTTACCATTTTTAACAAGGAGTTGTTTAGGGACTAGTGGGGGTGGTTTTAGGGATTTGGAGTGTAGTGGAAAGGTGGTAGAGAGAGAGGATGTTGGTGACAACCGCCATTAGGAGGAGTAAGTTTAGAGTCATGATAGTGAACGTGAAATTCATTTCCATTGCTCACTGTCACTCTGTAGTTGCCTTATTTGTATAGTTTTAAGTAATTTAGTTTGCTAGCTCTTGACTTTGCTTAAGTGAATGTAAATTCACTTAATAAATATCATGTATATCAAATTTAACATAATTTAAATTAATTACTTATTTTAAAACAACTTATTTTTATGGACAGTAATATCATTTTATAAAACAAATTATTTTAAAAATGGTGTGGCACATAATAAATTAATTACTCTAAAAAATTTATTAGTTCAACAAATACACATGAATAACTTTTATACAATATCTTTAACAATAAAAATAATTTTTATATAATTTTATGAGATAAATTTAGTTATTTCTAAAGTATAATTTTCAAGACACATGCATATTTTAGGATCGATAGACAATTGATTAAATTTAAACACCTACATAATTTAATAATCTTTCTTAAAATGCAAGATTAAAAAAATATAATTATTTAATAATCTTATTTTTATTATTATGTGTATCAAACTTTGGACATTTGTAGAAATATTATCCAAAGTTTGATATTTACTTATATTTTAAAAATATATTACACATTAAAATAAAATAATGTGATACAATACTTGTTATTTTTATTTTTCTATGAAATTTTATAAAGTTTACTTGATAAGAAACTTTAAACTTACAATTGGATTAATTAATCTTGTATTTTAAAAATAATTATTGAGTAGTGTAAGTATTCAAATTTCACACATACACACCATTTTTTTAACCTTAATATTGTATATGATAACAAGTTATATATATAGTAAGTTTTTATAAAAAGTTACATCATTTAATATTATTAATACATTAAATTTCATAATTTTTAATAAAAATAACTATCATATATAACTTCTTAACTTATACAATATTGCACAAATTAAAAAAGTTATAAATATTCTTTTATATATATATATTTAATAAAATATTGATGTGTAATATAAATATTAAATATTATTAAAGTGCACTATTTACTAAAATAACTTAAAAATTACTTACTTTTATCAAATATTTATACATATATTTAACTATTAATATTTGTTATATAAATATTTTATTCCCGTATTATAAATATTTATTTTTTTAATTATGTAACATTCCTATTTATATATAATAATATTTATACTACTTTATAAAGTAAGTATTAAAAAATTAGTTAAACTCTTGAGTACTTTTATTATTAATTTTTAATTATAATTATAATTTTATCTTAATAAAAAAATATTTAATTTGTTGTATATTATTAAAATCAACTCTAATTTTAATACAATTATAATATAAAATACTTAAAAATTACACTTAACTTATATCTATAATAAAAAAAAATACATGTAATTATTATTTTAAAACACAAACATATTAAAAGGTAACAAGATTTTGATTCAACATTATGTTACAATATGAATATATCGTGATAAAAATAAAATTTTAGTTGAATTCATTAAACTTAAATGTAAATTATTCACTTCAAAATATAAATAATAAATATAATATATTTATATGAATTTAAATTATTTAATCTTTTTAAATTAACAAGTAAAAATAAAATTACATAAATTTAAATTGAGTTACAATCGATTAAAATTAAATGTTAAACTTACGTATTTATACTACTTAATAATTTTTATAAAATTTTAAATTATTTAACCTAACAATTAGTTTATAGAAATTTTTATTAAGTAATATAACTTTATAAAATTTTATAAAAATAATATTATCATATATTTTATCGCATTTCAATGAATAATATATTTTTAAAATATAATTAACAATCAAATTTTGAATAAAATATTTATAAATTTATAAATTATATAAAATTTGATATATATATATATATATATTAAAATATAATATAAAATAATTTAGTAATTAAATTAATTAATGAATGTTGCATTTTATAAAAAAACTATTAAATAACGTAAGTGTTTAAGTTTAATATACGTATCGATGACCCATTTAAATAATATGATTTAATCATATATTTTATAATTTTTAAATAAATATCCCATTTAATATTATTTAGTTAAATTTTATAAAAAAATATATTAAAAATAGAGTAAAAATAATTATAGAAAGCAAATGAAAGTAACGTACGAAAGTTATTGAAGTAGTTAAAAAATAATTTGCTTTAAATGTCTTATTATACAATATAAATTTTATTTTTCTTAATTTTTAGAATCGAGTTTAAAGATAAAAAAATAATAAGTTATATTAAAAAATATTTATTATATTAAAATATAAAACCTAATAAATATTTTTAATAAAATGTAATTATTTAAAAATTCAATTTCAAAGCCGAAGTTAACAGCTTTCCTAAAATATCCATCAACATGAAAAGTGAAGAACCGGGGAACTCAATTGACCTTAAAATGAAATTGACGAATCTTGTCACATCACATAATACTGATTTAAAGCAGAAAGTTCTCTAACAAATTCGATATAGCCCACAAAAAAAATTATATCTTAACACTGTGGTAATATGTGCATTGTACAGTGTATATACGTACCTTAATAAAAACGAAGAGTTATTTTAAAAAAGAGCAAATAATTTATAATCAACTAAATAAAATAAAATGGAATGAAAATAGCATTGTACTGGGACTTGCATGGCTAGCTAGTTAAATGGAAAAGCAATAAAGAACCAACAGGGATTTTGTTGGCAACAATAAATGTGATTTCCCTTTAACTTCCAAGCCTCTGCAAATTAGTCCCTACCATATACAACTTCTACATTCAATTTCAACAAGATTAGGATTCTAGAGTTACTATGAGGAGCAATCTTTCATACCCTTTTTGCCCTTTCCTTTGGATTTCACTAACCTTGTTTCTCAAATCAAATGCAGGAAGCTTAGTGGTTTACTGGGGCCAAAATTCAAGGGAAGGCAAATTGACAGAAACATGCAACACTGGACTCTTCCACATTGTAAACATAGCATTCCTCTCAACTTTTGGCAATGGTCAACAACCTCAAATCAACCTAGCAGGCCATTGTTCCCCTGAGTCAAATGGGTGCCAAAGGGTAGGCATAGGCATCAAGAAATGCCAAAGGAGAGGCATCAAGGTCATGCTTTCAATTGGAGGTGATAGTAACACTTACTCTTTGTCATCACCAGATGATGCTAGACATGTTGCTGATTACATCTGGAACAACTTTTTGGGAGGGAATTCACATTCTAGGCCTTTTGGAGATGCTATATTAGATGGGGTGGATTTTGATATTGAAGGTGGTGAACTCCACTATGCAGCACTAGCTCAAAAGCTACATGACCATTATGCTGGTTCTAACAAAAAATTTTACTTAACTGCTGCACCTCAATGTCCATTCCAAAATAATATGCTTCATGGGGCACTAACCACTGGTCTTTTTGATCATGTTTGGATTCAATTTTACAACAACCATGACTGTGAATTCACCTCAAATGACCCTAATGGCTTTAAGAATTCATGGCACCAGTGGACCACTTCAATTAAAGCTAGCAAGTTCTTTGTTGGACTTCCAGCTTCACATGGAGCAGCTACCAGTGGTTATGTGCCATCACAAGCTCTAATAAATCAATTGCTACCTATTGTTCGGTCACCTAAATATGGAGGTGTGATGCTATGGGATAGGTACCATGATCTGCTGTCTAAATATAGTGGCAAAATTAGTAGAAGCGTTTGAAACTTGGGACAATGTTCTAATTAGCTTCAGTGCTGAATGAAAGTTCTAGGAACTACGGAGGGAGCATAGACATTCAAAATAATTGTCTTTAAATTAAGGGTCAAATCTTCACTCCTTTTAATTTTATTTTATAATTTTGGGTGCTTATATGTACTTTTTAGTCCTATTTTCTAACCCCTTGAATAAATGTGATGGATTTTGATTCTTACAATGAGTGTGCTTTGAAAAGTAAAATGTATTCTTTTATATTTATATAATTATTTATGAAATTATTAAAAGTTAGTAACATAATTTAATGAATATTTGAATTAATGTAAAAAAAATTCCTTCTATATTTTTATTTGTAACGTGTGCAACAGATTTTTAATAAGTAATCAAATACACTTTTATTCTCTTAATTTCTCAATTATGAGTTTAAATTTTAAATTTAATGTGACAATTCAAAATTTTTCTTTGATTAAGGAATCAAATCTTTAGTTTTTTTATTATTGTTTTCTGTTTCATTCCTTTTTATCTATTATTAACATTGTTTCACACAATTTAAGAAAATTAATTAATATTTTAGTTTATATAAAAATTGTTATCTAATTTTTAGTTTTATCTCTCTTTTCTCTAAATATTTAACCTATTTTTTTTTAATTAATCTTACTCATTAACTCTCAATATTAAAAATTAAATATATTATGTGGATTTAATGTACATGTAAGTTATGAAAAGATTTGTGATTTAGTCTCATTATTTTTTAGACTTTGCAATAATTAATTATCCATCTTATGGTAAATATGTAAAATAATTAAGAATTTAAGAAAACATAAAAATATAATAAAAATAATAAATTTTTCTTTGAAGACATGAAAGAAAATAAAAAATGTTGTCCAATAACAGGTTAAAGAAAATAGAAAGAGTACATTCAATCAATTTTTTTATCCACGTACATAAATGCAGAATTTGATTCCCACTAAATTTGGAAAGCAAAATAAATGCATATTTATATATTAATTTATTTATAAAGTAATTAAAATTCAAAATGTATTTGATTTTTTAAATATAGTTAAATTTATATTTATTGAATAAAATTTCTTGAAAATTACAAAAAAATAATTTTTTTATTAAAATTATTATTATAATTATCTTAATTATTATTAATATTTTGTGTATAAATAATTTTAATTTTTGAATTAAAATGCATTAAGTACAAATTATGTTACATTATATAAAATTTTAATTTATGATATATCACTGAACATGTGGATCAACTAAGAAAGGATTGTTTTAACTTAATTAGTAATTTTGAGTTTAGTGAATGCAACTGTGTTAAAATAATTGGAAAGAGGATTTACTGTCAATAATGATTATACCCAACTCAAACAGGATTGGGTTGAGTGGATAATACATATAATTTAAAAAAAATAATTTGATTTATGATATGCAAAAAAAGTAATATATCATGATTTTTATTTTTATTTTTGTTATTAAACAATGCTGAAGTGAACTAACAAAAAAGCTAATTTATTATTAGTGAAACCAATCTCATACATATACTCTTAAAAGAAGGAAACAAACTATAATAAAGAACAAATAAGGAATACACAATCATTTGATGCATTATAAGATAGATTATCAAGGAAATCAACATGTCTATTAGTCTCTTTATACACATTATACAAGCAAAATATCCTACAAGATTGTATTAAGCTTTTGATCTCCCCAAGTAGAGATACAAGTCTATGAACTCTATTTATATTGAAGAAAATCAAATAAAAAGTAACCTTGGAATCCATTCCCATTAAACCTCGATCATACCTAATATCCCTAATCAAACGAAAACCCAATAATCCAACTTACATAAAAAAAAAATTAGATTGAAATTTAGCCTAAATGTTCTAAATTAAGCAATACACAACTTTCTTATGATATTAATGAGCTTATTCATTTTATTCTACTAAAAGGCAGGGATACCAATAGATAATAAATTCCTTTCAAATGACCTATGAACAGGATTAATATAGAAAGCATAATTAGAGATCATATAATTCACGTAACTCCAAAGGTGAAAAGTCAAATATTTATTGTCTCCGAGCTTATTCTTAAATAAGCAATATTTATGTTATTTTAAAATATTCAAATCGCCATTTTAAATAGGATATTTCAATTATTGACCTTATTAAAATAATTCTTATTCAGGTTTAAATCAAGCCATTATTGAGACTAAGACTAAAAGAGAACTTTGACCCCCAATATGAATTAAAGGTAATTAAAAGTCAACAAATAACTCACAATCCTTAGCACATGCATTATCAATTTAGTAGTTAAATTGCACCTGGAGCAAAAATCATTACTAGTGAAGTCTCTATATTTTTTTCCCTTATGGATTAACAATCTGCCATAAGCAACTCTTCAATGAAAGATACAAATTTTTTATGGCTCAAGCCACTTGCAATAAGTTTTAAAATAAAACAATGATGGTATGATTTGATTATCATTATTAATAATCAATTCATGGAGTGACTTAAAAGTAAAATTTTCATTAAGAAAAGGGAAACAACTAGTTACATTAGAATTATATATTTTAGTCTAAAATGATAATATTTGAAATTAATTCATAGATCTTATAAAAATGTATAAAGTTTAATATTACACTACTTTTAATCACCCTTAGAATATCCACATTTAATAACTAAGCCAAACATAGAATGTCAGCAATCTAAAAGTTTTTCTATATACTTAACTTTAAGACCATCCCGATAACATAATATAGGCCCTAATTAATAAACCCCCAAGTTTAATAAACCTTTTTAAACCACAAAATTATGGTGATATTTTTTAATAATAGGATCATTATTTAAATTAACTTTATATTTAGTCGGACCTAAACCCATAAGTTATTAGGAGGATTAGTTAATTAATATTTCAATTTTATCTTATAGGTCATATTAACCTTTTGTAAGTCTCTAAAACCTAACATCCTCTTCCACTAATTTTTAAAAAACAAAATTTCTCTCACACGCCTCTAAGAATAAAGTGAGATTGTATAAAATAGTTGAGAATAATTAAAATACTTAACTAAGTAAGAGTAAGTGTATTAGTAAAAGAAATCAAATTGGCCTTCCAATTAGTTTGTTTCTTCATTAGTTTAACAATTAGTCTAACATACATTTTATAAGTTCTAGAGCATAATATAGTAGAGTTCATGTTAAAAGTGTAGATTATCAAAACACTTAATCCCAAACTCCTTCCTCAAGTTATTTCTCTTTTTAAAATCTATAGTATTAGAGGAAAAATATTGATGATTTAATCTTGTTAATTTTTATGCTAGAAACCTCACAAAAGGCTTGCAAAATAGATTGAATGAATTAAGGAAGAAGATATTTCAGCTATGAGAAAAAGATCATTTGGATAAAATAAATGAAAAATAGATTGAATAAACCAGAGAAGAATATTAATGATTTGAGTTTATTAATTTTTGTGTTAGAAACCTCACAAAAGGCTTGCAAAATAGATTGAATGAACTTAGAAAGAAGAGATTTCATTTATGAGGATAAGATCATTTGTATAAAATGAATAAAAATGTTAGGCCCCTCCTTGCCGAAACAAAAACGGAATTCACTTTCCTAAACTAACTTTATATTCAATACAATGAGTTAATCGATCCATGCATAAATAAAAGGTCATAAATGGTTAAAGAATCTTTTTGTCTAATACCCTTAGAAGGTTAAAACTGGTCCAAATAATTCTCATTCCAATGCATACTAAGAGGAGGAAAGACAATTATAAGTTAAAACACATCAAAGATCCACAAAATCAATGTTTTCAATTAGTCTTTGACAAACACACATTCATAACATATGTAGATTTTGAAATTAGAGATATATTTTTTTAGAGAGATTTTATAAGTACCAAATACCTCCATAGAAGCCAATAACATCAATTTTAAGGTTAGCAAAATATTTAAATATTTTAATAATACTATAAGCTTTATTATTGTTCACTCCAAACTCTACAATGATAATAAAATCTAGGTTATATTGATGAATAATGTAACACCCTAAAATTTTTAATTCAAAATAAAATATATCTTATTTTCAATGACTCAAGATAAATATTAATTTTTGTGTGTGATAAACTTTATTATATCAATTTATTAAAAATTTTCTTTTAAGTAAATTTGTTTATAAGAAAATTTTAAAATTCACAAAATTAATGGAATGACCAATAAATAAATAAATAAATAAAATAATTAAAAAATATATAATAAACTAGAATTAAGTATTCTTAGTAAAAAAAACCTGATTATATATTACAAATATCAAGTATAAGAATTTATAAATTGTTCTTTAAAATATATGAGAGTTAAGATAATATTTATATAATCAAAATAATTACATCATATAAACAAATTTAAGTCTCAAAACAGTCCTCAAAACACAATCCAACACTGAGAACCCAGTACTAATTGATTTCATGCCAACTTTCTATTTCTACCTGATCTTCAGAATTAAAATTATCATCTGACCTAAGGTAACGATCACTTGAATCAGTTGTGACCTTTGTGCCAGTAACACGCTCAAAGATCCATCTGGACAGTCTTCCGATATGATCATGATTGTGATAGGTAAATAAATAGGTGAGGGCTACTGGAGTTCTAACAATACCACTATAGATATAGATACATAGAGTCTGATATATTCTACTCCTAGAAAAATCAAAACGGATACTATAAAAGAAGTTCATCTCCAATATAATAAAGGTTCAAGGTACATCTTCAACAAGAACAACAAACTTAAAATAACATAATCTTTGAAATTCATTAAATACATAATTAAGCCTATTATGTACTGAGCTATCTATTAACCTAACTCTTTCTTGAAGCTCCGTCATCCTATTTTTCTGAAAATATTAGTAAGGATGAGCGTCTATTCTATCATGTACAAATTATTCATCACAGAATCATAAGGCATAATATAAAGAAAATATATTTATTTTCAGACTTATTCATGTTGCAAATATACTCACATAGACACAATTCAACAATTTATTCTATATTATCCATTCTCTCATTCCAATACGTACTTTCAGTACACTATGA